CCTAACTCATGGTTTTGGGTTTTGGGTGATTTTTGAAATATTCATATAAAATACTTTTTGGACTTTTAAACACAAAATATCTTATATCTTATATAATCTTGCATTTTAAGTATAAATCCACCAGTTACAGGCTGTAATGAGCCTTCAAATATTAGCTGACGTAACGGTGGTTCTCAAATGTGGTACGTCAGAGGGTACCTGAGATTTCAAAAAATACATGTATATTTAAATAGCATGAATTAAAAAATATTTAAAGTAGTCATTTCAAAAATATACAGTAAAATATATGCTATACTATTTCATTTTATTATGACTAGTTCTAAGTTTTCTGCCAACCAGGATCGGCAAATGTCATAAAAATAGTTGATGCTGATGAGACAGTGCTGCTTTTGATCTCCTTTTATTTCCATCAAAAAATGTTTCCACTATTTACAAAGCTACTTTAGTGAAAAGGTTTAAAAACCATTGCCCTAAAGGAGTGCATTGTTAAAAAAAAAGTTTCTATTTACAGTCAGATTCTGCAGGGAATCGTACGCAGGATGATTCATATTTAAAAGACCTGGAAAAAAAAAAAACAACTCGGTTTTCAACACCTCGTCTGAAATTTTCCATCTTCAATCATTTCGGTCATATTTGTGTAATCTCAGGGAGGTGGTGTTGTGACAGGTGTGTGTAACATCTGCAGTCTGCTGTGCTGAACGTTCTGAATTCACCATATTAACGGCACTGGGCTCCACGGTTTCACAGTCCGGGTGAAACTTCAGTGTATTTCCCAAGGTTATTGACTTATTTTGTGTCTTATTGTGGCAACATGTTCCAAAAAATACACCAAAACTGGTTATTGATGCGTTCTACAGTCGTTGGAATTGTTTTAAATTTTTAAGTTGCCATAAAGGATTTAAACACATTCAGAAGAAGTGAGTTGGAAAAACATTCATATGAAGAAATACTAGTTTAATTATGTTAAGTTAGTAGTTGACCTGAGGTGTGTGTGTTTTTCTTGTATAGCTATACTTGTCAGTATAGGTTTTTCATGGTGACAGTTTTGCATTTAAGGTTTAAAATTGAGAATTTAAGGTGGGAATAATATTCATATTATGGCTTGGGTAAAGATTAGGATTAGGCATATACAGTATTTATAATGGTTAGAAACAAGGGGATTAACGTGTCTATGTTGAATGCTCAAAAAACACAAAACCCTCCTTGTGTGTTTGTCTTTGTGCCAGTATGTGTGCTCGATACTGGTATATCTATACTTGTGAGGATGTTTTTTTTGTTTGTTTGTTTGTTTGGAAATGTGCTATATTTTGTAGTTCGGAGTTGGGATTAGAATAAGGGTCAGATTACTATTACTAAAACTGTACCCCGGTAAATTGCAATAGTCAGTGCTGTACAATCACTCCGACAAAAGCAAACTATGTGTGTGTGTGTGTTAAAGTAGGATGTCTGTGTAGGTGTAAATATTTCTGTTTATCATATAAACACACATTTCCATTCTTTACTGTTAAATCCATAGACTGTTTCAAATCTCGTCATTTTCATATCTACAGTGACACGCTTATTTTATCAAAAAATGATTTGATGGGAAATAAACTGCTGATATAAAATCCAACCCAGATTTTCTTCACCTGCCTCAGAGCGACTCAGATGTTTGGGTGACATGTTTTGGCTCCTGATTTATGTCAATGCTATTTGTGCTGGACTTTTGTTCATACTTGGATTGTGGCTCTGGACTTTTATTATGACTCCTTATCTACTTCCTCAACACTGACATGCAGAGAACAACTATCCTGCTGAGCTCGGATAAATAGCAGAGCTGCCAGAAAAACTCCGGCAAAGAAAGGAAGAAGAATGTGAACAAAGCTCTCATGGACTTGTGTGGACATGACATCATGACACTCAGACGGTGTAAACAACGGGCAGTGTTAACATTAAAAAGAGAGGATGACCACTTTGTGGCTCCACTCCTATTTATGCAGACTTTTTTTTTTTACTGTTTGGAAGAGATTGGAAAGATCTCTCCGGGGTAAAGTGATGCCTTTCAGCTTTTGTTTGCTCACAGTACCCGCAGGTTTTGGTCTGCAGACTTTGACTTTTATTTTATTGTTAATAAAATGTATGTTTTTGCAGAAGAGTGTAGTTGAAGGGAAGGTAATTTTTATGCATTAATCATGTAAGCCTCTTTCATTTCTGCTCACTGTTGGCTGCGGTTTTGCGCAATGAAAAAGTCACTGTATACACAGACTGAAGGTCAGAGTTAAAAATTCACATTAAAACAAATTCTGCATTAATAATAATAATAATAATAATATGGTTTGTTATGATTGTTATTATTGTTATTCCTCCCTGGTATTTTAATGGTGTATATAAGTAATAGCGCTGCTTGTAAAACAACACAATGTGTCCATTTGTCCATTTAGTGACAAAATTGTTCAATTCTTTATCTGTGCCTGCCTGTGTGAAGGAAGTCATTTTTTTCTGTGGCAACATTGTTTTCAGATGTGGTCAAACGGCACAAAAAAAAACGAAAAAAAAAATGAGCACACATTTTCTGAAATGAAGTGTTTTGATTTAAATGAGTTGTGGAGGGAGAACCCCGTCTTGGAGACAAGTAATATAAACTCACAGAGAGAAAGCAGTGTGGGAGTTTAAAGTTTAAACTTTTCCATCAGAGCAGGGACCACCGCATACACACACACACACACACAGGGAGAAAAAACACGTCCAGTCAAACTGTACGTACATTCACAGCATACTAATAAAATAATACTTTATTACACATTAAACTGTCATTATATTCAGACTTCAGTCAGAATGGAAATGTTTTCAGCATCAGCAAATAGTTTGGTCTTGGCAATTGATGCTTGTTTAAACAGTTTGCTTTGAGAACAATGTGATCAGGAGAACACTGGGTATTTTCAGTCCTTAAAGCGTAGCCTCTTAAGTAATAATGAGAGTGAGAAATGCAGTGCATTTAAGTGAAAACCCAGATCAATTATGTATGATTAGAGAACTCTTAAAAGCTTTAGGTGGGGGACGGGGGGAGTAACTACATAAACAGAACATGATGTCCAGAATGCTTGGATGGAAACCAGAATAGGAACTTGCAAATGTACAAACAGTAGTACAAACAGTAGAACAAAGCAAGATGAACCTTAAGTACAAACAGTAGAACAAAGCAAGATGATGCTTCTGCGTGGCCAGACAGTGCCGACTATTTGTGTTTGGATCATGTCATAATTTTTTTTATATATATATACTGTATAAGCAAAGTAAAAGGACAGGTCTTGTCTATGACGCTGGCTGTAGATTTTAATAAATGATTTAAGCATGTGATGCTCGTGCCCTGGAAAAAGAAAAACTCACGCATGTACTGTGCAAACTGCGCATGTCCTTGTTTTTATGATCAATTTTATTTGACTTCTGTTGACATTTAACCAGTCAAACTGGGGCAGTGTAAATAAAGGAGAAGATAACATTGTTATCTGGGTATGCTGTATTCTTGAAGGGCACATGTATGTTTTATCATAGGATGAGTCACCGCGGAGAGGTCATTTGAAAATATCATTTCAGCTGAAAATGCGTTCAGACATGCAGGTCCTGCTCTACACCTTGAATAACTTCTACGAACCTGTCGAGCACATCTCCCCTCTTCTTCTTTTTTTCCTTCCTTTCTCCTCTACTCTTCCTCAGTGTCAGGGGCATCATGCATGTTTTCACCTCTAAAGTGATTGTACCTGATTTATATGACAAGCCTTTAACCTGGCAAGTGCTTGTCCAACAGCGTAAGGGAGAAAACACCCAAGGGCATGTGTGAGCAGAACCAGATCTGGCTTTAAGTCAGTCATCCCTGTAACCTCCAAACCAGAACATACTCCTCTTTATACATTTATTTTTATATTATATTAAATAAAACAGCTCTTTCAATTTTAAACGTGGCATAAATACTTTGTGAAATATTTTTATATATATTTTATATAGTTCAGAAAACAGAACATACATCATATCTGGCAACAGAACAATAGTATCATCTTTATTAAAAGTATGCACACAATTTAATATAATAATCTTTTAATGTAAAGGAAATAACAAAAAAAATGTTCCCAATTTTGTTGCTGAATATGTGGTGATATATTTAAACGCCAAGCAATTATAATATAAAAACTGTTCCAACTGCTGTCTCCACCTGTGGACTGTAAATTGCACAACAACGGAAAAACTTCATGGTGTGAGCGCCCTATCTAGTGGAGAAAAAAAGTACTACAAATTCCAGTCTTTAAAGTCAGGCTCTGCCGATGTTTACTGGCTTCAGATCACATTATTTCTTATCAGCGGCTGCTCGCAGACATTCAAGACATGTAAATGTTAATTTTATTAACTGTTTTGGATAAAATAATATTTTTTTCACTGAACTAATATAAACATTTTTGGGGTGTGTTAAATAATTAAATAAATAAATACAAATCAGCACATACATATAGTTTTATCTGGGTACCAGCAAAATTAAGAGGAATTAAGGTTTAAAAGCAAGTACGTCACTTCCTTTCCGGCGTTATAACGCGGTCTCAAACGTCAATCCAAGCCTGCAACAGAGGTAGGCATTGTGCATCTACGCGCTTAAATAGAAATGAATTAATTCAAACACATTTTTTAAACATGAAACAATTAAGGCAAACACTCCCAACGGTGACACACACCCATAAAAACTATGAGTAAGAGATGTATCACTAACGGAAATGTGTTTTTTTTTTTTTTGTCGCCTCCAAAGTAAAGTTCCTGTCAGTTGGTCACGTGACTTCTGTTTACAGACATCCGGAGAATCATGGAGGACAACACCGGCAGTAATCCCCAGTCCGTGGGATTAACAGAGAAACTGAAGTCGTGGCTCTCTTGGTCATGGACATATGTTTGCTTCATCTGGTTGACCATGGTGCTGGTGATGATATACGTGCTGTGGAGTCCGCTTAAACTGCAGGAAAGCCTCACCTCAGGTGAATGAAAGCAACCGCTAGCTAGGTATTGTTAGCCTCCGGCTGCTTAGCATACAGGAAACCGGGACTGCTGCCTAACTGGCAGCTCGTTATTTCAGTTAAGGATCAAATAAAAATGTTTAAATTTGTGCACTTCATTAATATTGCAATTAATAAAGCAATTGCTTGTGGCGCCTGCAGGTTTACTGTTATGGGGTTGTCTTTCGAAAGGCTCTGTCAAAAACCCCTTTTATTTTGCATGTTGCCGATAAAGACAAACCCCCTCCAACTGCTCTTTTCTCCTTTCAGCCTCAGTGTTTTTAAATACACTTACCCCGAAATTCTATGTGGCTCTCACGGGAACCTCCTCTCTTATCTCTGGACTCATCCTTGTGAGTTATTAATTTTGTTTTCAAAATAAGGTGTTTTTTTCTGAAGTGGCTACATTTAAATGAATGAAAAGTCCTTGAAATTGCAATGCCTTGTAAATTGCATTCTTATTATTGATTTATAAGATTTAACCTAGATGTGCAAGTTAAAATCCAATTTCAATTTTCAAAATATTCTGCTATCTAAATATAATGCGCTTTAGAAATGTTAGGCCTTTGCAGATTATTCCAAGGTATTGCTTAGAGGAGATGAACTAACTCTGAAGCACAAGAAGTATTTTTGAAACATTTTTAGGGATGCAAAATTCAGTAATGAGGGAAATATAACAACGTAAAGAGAGCTAAATCGAGGAAAACTAGATTAACAGATTTTGCAAAACTAATTAAAGACTTGGTGAGATAGTTATGTGTGTTGATTCTAATAAGACTAGTATGTATTATATGAAGACACAGAGTGGTTGTTTGACAATAAAAAGAATGTTGTTGTACTGTTTGCCCACACCCCCAGATATTTGAGTGGTGGTATTTTCGTAAATATGGCACCTCCTTTATTGAACAAGTGTCTGTGAGCCACCTGCGACCTCTCCTGGGAGGAGTTGAAAGCAGCTCCACTACTGGACTGTTCTCATCCGTAAATGGAGATGCAGAGCCAAGGCCTAGTGTTTCAGGTGAATAATCATTGTATTTATCTTTTTAAAAAATTACATTCACATTAATCCTATTATGTATAAACTTATTGACTTTCCTTTTCTTTAGAATGTAAGGTCTGGAGGAATCCTCTTAATCTGTTCAGAGGAGCAGAATATAACCGGTATGCGTTGAGTTCACATGTGTATTTTATATAAATGTATCCATATAAAAATTCTTAATCATCTACATACTCTTTACTATTTTAGTATTTCATTTTTTTTATATGTTATACTATTATTACAGTTACAACAGCAAATATTTTTCAAGCAGGAAAACACTTAAAAACACTGTAAATAACCTAGTAGTTGATGTCTTAACACAAACACAACGTTAGTCTGGTGCACTGAGTAACTTTTAAGTGTCATTTTGGCAGTACATGCAGTAATTTTTATCCTTTGTTTAACTTTGGGTTCTGCAGATACACCTGGGTAACAGGGAAAGAACCTCTGACATATTATGACATGAACCTCTCTGCTCAAGACCATCAGACCTTCTTCACAGGAGACACGCAGCAGTTAAAGCCAGAAGATGCCGGTGAGTTTTACTATTACTTATGTATTTGTAGAAATGTTTTCTCCTTCAGCCTGTTTGACAAAGACTCACTCTCTGGAACCCCGGATGATGTACTGCTTTATATACTTGTAATTAAGATTGTATTTTTATCATATTTTGTTTTGTTCTTTTCAAAAATATTTTCTTACACATACTATGAACCTTTGATTTCCTGATTTCTAGTTCTGATTCTTATCAAAGTTTCACAGTAGTGAAATCTGTCACAAACCCACATTCTTCCTCTGCTCACAGTGATGCAAAAAGCCTGGAGAGAGAGAAATCCTCAAGCCAGGATCAGAGCAGCTTATCAGGCTATAGAACTAAACCACGAGTGAGTCTTAACTCCTTTAATGCTGACACTGCTTTTCACTGTTTAATAAAGCTCAGTTTTAAATGTACATTCATTGTGTAACTTCAACACAAATTATTATGTTTGCTGTAAGGTAGGCCGTATGGACTCCACAATCTGCCTCTCTGTCCTGTGTTGTTTCTCATTTGTTGTGTGCGTGTGTACAGCTGTGCTGCTGCCTACGTACTTTTAGCAGAAGAAGAAGCCACAACGATCACAGAAGCCGAACGCCTCTTCAAAAAAGCTCTTACTATTGGTAAGAGTTTAATCTTAATCACTTACTAAGACTTTGTTCAGACTGCAGGCAAAAGTGGCCCATGCCAGATGGGCCCATATGTGTGTGTTTTTCACATCTGACCCAGGACACTTTCTCATGTAGCCTAAATATACAGAATATTTATCCTATCATTTTCAGAATGGCCTAAATGCTACTTCAGTGACTTTAACGTTATAGAATTGAGCCAGACATTGCAATTCTGTACCAGAACAGGAGGGTGCGCAAAGAGGAAAACTGTAAATAATGTATGAAACTATTATGCAGACACCTTTGACAAAAAAAAAAACAGTTATCAAAGTTTAATTCACTTTATGGATGTGAGGTGTTGACATGAAATCTGGTATCATCAATCTGTATCCTGTACTGTGAACAACCACACACACAAAAAATAGCAAACAATGGTAACTCAGCCACAAGGAGCTGCAGTCTGATCATAGTCTGAACAGCTTACATACAGCCCTCTGGTGTTAGAGTTACTTTATTACAGTTACATTATGCAGCAGGCTTTTTTCTCATCTAAGTAATGTCAGGTTAATTATACATGTTTTTTAAGCCAAACAAAATGTTTTACATCATTTGATAAACGTATCTAAGTATTCCCTTTTTATTTTTTCCTGTTGTCCACAGCTGGAAAAGACATCAACCTGCTGGTGTACATTAAACGCAGACTGGCTATGTGTGCACGCAAACTGGGGAGGATTAAAGAAGCCGTAAAAATGATGAGAGATGTGAGTTACTGTAGGCAGTCACGCCGTGCTGATGTCAGCAGAACTCCAAACTCTTGATTCAGTCATAAATAGTTGCCCTAAGTCTTAATCCACAAAGTCAGCTCTAATTGATGGACGGTCTTTTATTTGTCTGCAGTTAATGAAGGAGTTCCCTCTGCTGGGAATGTTAAATATTCATGAAAATCTTCTGGAGGCTTTACTAGAGCTGCAGGCCTACGCCGATGTCCAAGCAGTTCTCGCCAAATATGACGGTAAGATAATATCAGATGAAGAGTCACTTCTACTTCATGTGGCTCTGGGGCTGATGCACAACATTGGGAGGTTTTTGTAGACTATGCATATATAGATGATAAGTTTAGCAGAGTTCGTGCCTCCTCGTCCCTGTCACACGATGCTTTCCTCTCACAGTTTCCCTATAGTAGATGCTAAATAGATACAAGTTGCTAACAGCTTTGACACGTTTTGGCATTATATTTTTGTCAACCTTTGAAGTGTGTTTTATTTGATTAGATTGATTTTCAACCTTAACAGATGAATAATTGTGAAATAAAAATTGTTGATGTGTGATACAAGATTTCGATCTAGCCCCATCTGAAGAACCTTCGAGAGTTTCTGAATTTCAGTCCTTAGACAAGACAAAGACACAGGTTTAGATCTGTGGTGAAAGACTCTCCTTCAGAAATTGCTTTGTTATTTTTCTTGACTTATATAGTGTATATTATGCAAAAACATAGTTTGGGTGCAAAATGGCAACTAAACATTCGTTGTCACAACTTCATATTCACTGTTAAACTGAATGATAGCCATAGACTGCTGTAAAATAATGTATGCACCTCTTGTGTGTGTCATCTCACTGTCCTGAACAAACAGACTAAATGTCTTTTTTTTACAATCTCCTCTCTGCACTCCTTTGGCAGACATCAGTTTGCCAAAATCAGCCACAATATGTTACACATCTGCGTTGTTGAAAGCACGGGCTGTGTCAGATAAGTAAGTTCACATTCTTTCTCTCCAGAATTTGCAGATGTTGATAAAAACATAGTATGATGTTTTTGTCTCGGGGCCCGCGTTCTCATTATTCCTGTGTTTTTTCTCACATAGGTTTTCTCCAGAGGCAGCTTCCAGACGGGGACTGAGCACAGCAGAGATGAACGCAGTGGAGGCGATACACAGAGCTGTGGAGTTCAATCCACACGTGCCAAAGGTCAGCAGGGTCACTGATAAGAGCTGCGTAAAGTCTCTGTAGGTTCAAGGGCTTAAAGGTGTTTTCAACACTGAAGTTCTGTATTTGTAGAATCCATTTACTGAGACACACGTTTCCATCAAATTCTGGAACTTTAACGTCATTTCAACCTGACTGTGTCAAACCTCTGGTTACACTCAAGATTTGTTGAACACAGACACAAGTTAAAAAAAAAAAACAATTCATATCAATGTATCAACATATGTGAAATATTTTACTACTTTTTTTAAATGTCTAAATTTCACGCAAAATTTAAAACAAGTATTTGCTGAATAAATATCACAATTAGACTTTTAGGAATTAAATGAAACTCGTATAAAATATAAAACTTATATAATCACCTGGACATTACACACGTTTCCACAGGTCTCCCCTCACTTTAATATAGACAAAGTCACACACGTAGTTCTTTCTTTAACCGTAGTATTGTTTAGCCTTAGTAAAGAAGGCTCGACTTCAGTTAGCACGCTGATCCAGCCTTTGATTTTCCAGTTGAAGCCCCCATCTTTAAAGACCTCCCTGTCTTGCTCAGAGACACCTGTTCTTTCTCTCTCTCTCTCTCTCTCTCTCTCCATTCATCACCTGACCTTCATCCTGTTTCTCATCCTCTCATGTTCATGTTCATCCCCCAACTGAGCTGAGAACAGGAATCCTGAATTTGATCACCGTGGCAAAATTTGTAGAACTGTGAAAACAGAGTTACTAACAAGTGCTGCTGATAAATCTGAGATTTAGATTTAGTTTGAGGTTTGCAGCAGTTTTTTCTCAAATGTTAATAAATAGTGCAAACACTATTTATTAACTTAATACCATAATGAACATAGACTAAACTTATTACAGGAAGGTGTTAACAGGCTAACACCTTCCTGAACCTACGCTAAACGTATTACCATAACAGGCTAACACCTTCCTGAACCTACTGCACATCACTTAATCTATTTATGTTGTGTCGTTTTCAAACAATTCCACCAATTCCAGTTGAAAATGAAGCTCCATCTCCTCTTCCTCTGCGCTGTCAGACTCAGACTCTTCATCAGCTTCAGATCCAGTTTGTCTGTTACCGTAGTTACTGTATTCTGCAGTAGGGGCTTTTTTCATCACATTTTGTTTGTGTTCTTTATGGAAGACTTCATGGTTTAGTAATGTATTTTTTTTGTAGTGGTGCAATAACAGCGTTCAGTTCTCATGCCCTCTTGTGGCAGCACATGGAATTGAGTATATTTTGAATACATAAGTTGCTTTGGAACATGTGTCGCAGGTCCAGCCATGACCAAAAAATATGGACTTATAGTTCAAAAAATGCAGTGGTTATTAATTTGGTTATTAATTTATACACATTATACATTACATCCACAATGTTGTGTGTTTACCACAAGCAGCTCTAACATTTGAAATTCATGCAAGGCTGCATCACACAAGCCCTGTGTGAAGGCTACACTGTTTTAAGTGTAAACCATCCTCCTCTACCCGTTCTCCCCCATTACTCCTCCTATCCTCCCCTCGACATGTGCCCACCTTTATTTCTTGTCTCGTCCTGTACTTATTTCCATCTTTTCTTGCTCTGTCTGTCCAGTTCAATCAGCCGTCCAATCCATCAGTGGTTAAGAGCCTGACAGTTTTCCTCTTGTCCCTCGTCGTTGATCAACTTTGTCTGTGGCCTGGATCTGTTTTGCATTTACATTTGCCACCACTTTGGTCCATATTTGCTCATTTTGGTGCAGCCGACCTGACCTACCTTTGCTTGTTTACTCTTTTTTAAAACAGTTTCCCATCCGACCTCTGTCCTGCTGACCTGCTTTCATCCAGATTAACTTTCAAGGCCCTGCGTCCCAGCTTATATTAGTAATTACCCTTTTGCTTTTGTGGATTGGGAAAGAAAAATAGCCTGGCATTTGTTGTGAATCGAGATGGATGAGGTTGGGTTCAGAGTATGGAAAAAAGATGCAGATATAATTTGTCCCATACCACCACAAATGTGGTTCGTTCTCCAGCCTTTTTTTTCCCACTCTGTCATTTGAAGTTAGTAAATCGGACTGAAATGTATACTGTGGGGTTTGTCCCTCTCAACTCAACACCTGTTACCTTTTAATGGTGCTTCACTGTAAACATGTGTGTTTGTTCAACCCTGATGGAGCAACTTCAGGGCTGATGTCATCATTGCCCTGCGTTCCATTGTAAGGAGCAATGTGCTGCAGATTAGAATCAGAAGGCAGCCTGTGAGTTATGCCCCGGCTTATAACTGTCCAGGGATGAAAGGAAACTCAATCCTTTCATCAAAGAGGCTACGGGGAGCGGGAGAAGAGGGGGGAGAAGAACGGGAGGGAGGCCAGAACAGACGGGCAAGGTGTCACTTTTTTCTAATGCTGTGGCATGTGAGGGAAGAACAGCTGAGCCGCCGGTCTCTCTAAATGGTTTAATCTTAACAGGGAGAAGAGCCAGAACTGAATGACTGTCAATCACTGTCCTCTCATTATCAACAAGTGACTCCTAATGGAGGAGGAGGGGTTTTCCATTAGTTGGACCAGTTTTCCAGATTTATTCCCAAAACGATAGAGCTATTATTTTTTATTTAATTGAAATAAAACAAATAGTAATGCCAAAATACAACCAGAGGGAAAGACAATGTCAATAACTGAAAAGCTATGGATTTATCATGATTAATTGTGATTAATTAAAATAAATCCTGATTATGTAAGATAAATGTCTATTTATCTGATAGAGCACACCTGTTTTCATTCGTGACTGATTCAAATGATGAAATTCCTGATATGGAAAAATGTGAAAAAGTTTAACATTAAATTTAACTTCAGCGAGATGTGGATTTTGGTTGACAGTGATTGGTGACGCTGATGAAGCCGCATTTGTAGAACAAGGGGACAAATAGTGACAAAAGACAAAGGTAGCTGTTATCATTAAAACTGTCACTGATGTCTCCCTCTGAAGGACAAGGAAGAAATAAATGTTTGGTGAAATGTTTTTGGTCCAGTGAGGAAAATGAAGGCAGACAGTCACGAGTCTCTGCTGGAGCAGGAAGAGCCTATTTACAGAAAACTCGGTCAGACAGTAGAAGTGAGGAGGGCAGACCAGGGGCTGTTAGTCAGGTCCAACCGCTGTGCTGTATAACAAGCTCACAGGGTGTAGTGCTGGCACAGACAGAGAAAAATACAGTTTACACTGGAGAGAATGACTTGATTGGAGGATGTTGTGTGAGAACAGGGAAAATTACCAAAGTGGAATCTCACCATTTATTACAGATAGAGACATAATAAGTAGTAACAAATGGCTGGGAATTAATTAAATTAATTAAATAATGTTTTATGTGTAAAATGTGTAGAATGGAAGAACTTACCTAAGAAAATAGGCCAACGTGTAATTTTTGATGAATTTCCTTGTTCACTTTTAATGAGCCACAGGACATTTCTATTTTTATGTTTTAACTGCATCAATGCCATCTGTATTTTCTCTTTTTTCCTAGTGATCAAAATGTTTATGGGTCAGTACGTGGCAGTGAAATTATGGTCCCAATAGGGGGCAGTAGTTGAACTCAAACTTTGGCTAGAAGTGCCTGAGGATAAAAGAGAGCAAAAACGGTTGTTTTGGATTTTTTTTTTTTTTTTTTTTTTTTGGGATGACGATATATCCGGATTAATCCATCTTAATCCATTTTTAATTGTTTGTCAGGCCCTGGTTTTTAAACTGTTTTTGTCAGAAACTATTTCTCATGTAGTGAGGCTATTGTAGAGTTTTCTGTTATCCAGAGAAGGAGACAAGATGCAGAGACGTTTCAGTGAAGCACATTTGTTTAAAAAGTTAAAGAAACTGTAAGAAAGACAGTCAGTCGTTGGGAAGAAAAAAGAAAGAGAGTGAGCCAGAACAGTAGAGCTCAGCCAGGCTGTGATCACGGAGGCGCGGCTGGACACAGAGGACGGCACAGGGGGAGAATCAGGGTGAAGAGGCACGGTCCGGTTGACTGGCTGAGCCCCTGACCATGGAAAGGATTAGACGGGATTAGCTGTGGGGTAACCTTCCCAACGTGTCAGTCTGACATCCAGAGAGCACTGTGTCACTGGCCGCCTGGGAATTCAGCCCTGGGGGCCCCCAACCCTGCAGCAGGAGTTTAGTTTAACACAGACTCCTGCCAACACTGGGCACCGCAGGCATGGATCACACAGAGCGGCAGGTTCATCAAAGTCCTGATGAATCCATTCATCATCATCCACTGACACAGTAAAGCCTTCCTGAAAGTGTTTGATGCAAAAAAAAAAAAAACAATGTGCAGTATGTCAAAGTTGTGGTTCCCTTGTCCTGGGCTGTGTGTTTTAAGGGACAGCAGAGAAGTTCTATTCATTTTACATCTAGAAAGTGAGTCTTTGTCAGCACGGTGGCTGGACAGACTGTGGGACAGTTTGACACAGGAGGAAAACGGAGGAAGGGGGATCTTACACACGTCTGGGGTGAATGAACTATTCCGTAACAATAACACTCACATTCAAAAGATTCCTGGTTGAAAACAAGTGCATGTCTGTCCACACAGAGAGAGTGGAGCAGACACGGTAAAAAAGTGAATGATGTGGAAACAAGTGAAAAAAATCTGAACAAACATCTGAGCTGCAGAAGAAAATGTTACTTTAACACTTCTTTATTTGAAGAGCAACAAGTGGATTTTCCTGCCTGCCTTCCTTCATTCCTGCCTTCTTTCCTTGATTCCTTCCTTCCCTATTCCCATCCCTTCTTTCCCTGTTCTCTCCTTTCTTTCCTTTTTCATTCCTTTCTTCCATTCATCCTTCTTTTAATTCTTCCTTCCATCCATTTTCTCCCCTTCCTGTTTCTTCTTTCCTCTCCATCCACCTGAGTAGGAAGTGAAGAGATTTTATCTAGCTCCTTCTTCTTTCTTTGCTTTCTTTTCTCTTTTCTCCATTCACAGTTTTTTTCCGTCGTTCCTACCTTTCTTTCTTTGCACCGTTTTGTCCCTCCTTGTATTTTTCTTCTTTAAGTTCCTCCTTGAACATTTCTTTTTCTCTTTCTTGGTCTCTCTTGTCTCTTTTTTCTTTTTCCTCTTTCATTCATTTGTTTTCCTTTCTTTCTTCCTTCTTTCTGTTCTTTACTTCCTTCATCCCCTCTTCCTTTATGTTCTAACTCCCTCTCTCGCTTGCTTCATTTTCCTTCCTTCTTTACCATCTCTTTTGCAATAATTTCCTTCTTCCCCCACTTTCTGTTCACCCAGTGACCTCCAGTAGTTTTCCCTGTTAAAGCTCCTGTTCACCTTATTAGATTTGTCTTCTTGAGTCAAACATCACTCACTCTGCCCTCTCTCTCTCTCCCTCTCTCTCCCATCAGTACTTATTAGAGATGAAGAGTCTGATCCTGCCTCCAGAGCACATCCTGAAGAGGGGCGACAGTGAGGCCGTAGCCTACGCCTTCTTTCACCTTCAGCACTGGAAACGTGCAGAAGGAGCCTTAAACCTTTTACACTGCACGTGGGAGGGAAGTAAGTGCTGCAGCTTTCACCACAAAATGTTAAAAATCAAGCTTTTATAAAAAGTTAAATATTTGGCAATTGTAGGAACATGGAAGTGCAAACCCTGTTGGTGGACAAATTAGAACTCCTTCTAGAAATACACAGAATAATGTAAATTATTAATTTGATTTAAAGGTTTTAGAGTTCAGTTTCTAACTAGATTTTTTAAAGTAATTATTAAACTGGAGATTTTTTACAGCATTTTCAGAATCAACTTCTGGCTTTTAATTTTTTTTCAGTACAATATTCACTACTGTGCTGGTATCAGGCTTCTGTATCTCCATGTGTCATGAGTTATTAATGAATGAATGATAAAGAAGTTATTTTGCCTCAAAACAATTGCTGCAAAGTTACTGGACATTGTGCTGTTTTAAATTACATGTTTATATATATATATATATACACACATGCAGCCTCTCTTTGCTCCTGTGTTTGCAGCCTTCCGGATAATTCCTTACCCTCTTGAGAAGGGTCACTTGTTTTATCCTTACCCAGGATGCACAGAGACAGCAGACAGGGAACTCCTGCCCGGTAAAATAAAAACAATACAGGAGCTTTGACTTAATCGATTGTCTTTTGGAGTCTTTTGTTTTGCCTGGTTTTATCATCCTCAGTCTCCTCTCTCTCACACTCTTCCTCTCCCTCTCCACTGCAGCGTTCCACGAGGTCTCTGTGTATCCAAAGAAAGAGCTTCCCTTCTTCATCCTCTTCACAGCAGGCCTTTGCTCCTTCACTGCCATACTGGCCATGCTCACACACCAGTTCCCTGACCTGATGGGTGTCTTTGCCAAAGCAGTGAGTTACAGTTCTACTGAATATATGACATCATCATCCTGTTTTTAAAGTTTTTGATTTAGTTGTTTTTTTTTAACTAGACTATTCCAAAAGGTCAAACGTCAAGTTTATCTAATGATGTTTTTTGGATTATTGATCTGTTATTGGGGACGATTTATATTTTTAATATGATTAATCATAGGCTAGTAGTGGATTCATCATGACTAATAACAATTAATTAATTAATCATGATTAATTTATTGTGACTAATCTGTGAGTGACCACAAAATGAATAGCGCCCCCTCATTAATACAACATCAATTCTGAGGATAAAAATCATTGTCAGACTGTCGTGTTATTGGTTCTACAAACTCCACTTTATTGTCATATTTGTTTATTTTAGCCCATACAAAAACACACACTTTGTGTCTGGTCTTTGTTTCTGGTAACTGGGTGTGTTATCAGTAAAAAGTTCCTCGCTGCTTTCTGAGGGAAAAAAATGTGTTGGGAAAGAAAAACCAAAGACAAATGGTGCTGCAGCAGCGCTCGTGAAACATCTGGCTTTCCTTTAGTAATGAAGAGCAGACATTCACTGTACCAATGTTGATTCTGTTTAAATACATGTATGCATACACAGATATATATTTATATAAGTACTTGGATTTCTCTGCTGTGAGGATGATATGTCCACTGATGAGACTGTTCAAGTGTCAGGTGCATCACAGTCACCTCACAGAAGATCCAACTGTTACTGCTGATATCATGAATCACTACCACGTGTCTGTGTTCTGTTGTGTACACACTGCTAACGCAGTGTGTTGCCTGTCACTGATCCAAGTGACAGAGGTTTGTTTGTAATGTAGGAAAATGGGAAGAAATACAAGAAAAAAATCCACCTGGAAATATTTAAAGAGAAGGTTTTTATAAATGAAGTTCACCCAAAGAGCACTGACGTCACAAAGATGGCTGAGACAATGGTTTTCCAAATTGTAGTAGTTTTCCTGTGATCTGATCTTTTCACATGTAGGTGGAATTCTTCTGCAAATTATTCAGTGTATTAATTAATGTAAATTTAGCAACAATATCTGTATTGAAACACAAAAATTAATTTTCTGACAGTTTGGAATATTTGTCTATAAGTTTTTGTTTTGTAGATTTTTGCTTTTTAGTTTTATTTTTATTCACTTATACAGTAACTGTTTATTTAAACAACCGACCATTTTTTTCTTTTTCTCTGTTTTCCTTTTATCTATTTGATAAATAATGAATTAGTGAAGATGTCAAGGTGTTCATTCTTTTGGTCTTTAATCCAGAGAAAAATGTGTCACTGCAACGACCAAAATTACTTTCTTTTTTTTTTTTTACCTACCAACGCATGTACTGCTGTTTAATTTGACTATTTCCTTTATATTTGATATTTTCCAAAAATCATGAACAACTAATATATTTTCTGCAATTAATCACATAAATTAAAAAAAAAAAAATCAGTGTTCATGTGAGAGCTGCAGCAGTCCTAATGCTCTCATTGGTTGGCATGTGTGACGACGTCAGTGCATATCCAATACTGATCAACAGCCTACCTGTCATGTCACCTAGGGTTCATCCATATGTGTATTCAGAGCCAGTGAGCAACAGACTTTCAAAATAATGATCATAATAATATAAACTTAACGTTAATTAACAAATCACAGTATTATATCTTAGCATTAGCTGGCTAACACTTTATTTATTTTCTACCTTCAGCTAAAATGTATATAGCGATGTCTCAGTGAACTTGTCAAGTCAAGAACTTGACATCTTCATGGAATTTATTTTTTAATTTAATGATAGTTTTTCCTGCCAAACGAAGCCTCACTTTGCTTTTTTTCTTCTTTGTCTTCCTCAGTTTTTCAGCACACTCTTCGCACCCTTGGGTTTCTTCGCAGACAAGATGGAAAGCTTCTTGCCGTCCAGTTTCTGGCACCAGCTGACTCGGATCTGACCCCATAGCGCACTCTATCTCTCTCACTCGCACACACACACACACACACACACACACACACACCAATACCATTTAGAAGAAAAGTGTTTGCTCTCCTGTCTTCAGCATTACTGTCCACTTGCTGCACTGTTACTGATTATGTTGGCTGAGGTTGTATCAACACAGCGAACCATCTCATAAGATGCTCTCCCACACCGTCCCAGCAGTTTTTCCAAGAACACATTGAAATGCTTTTAGTCTCAGTGAATTCACAGGGCCATTTATTTGTCAGCATGTTGCGATAGGGACGAAGGGGGAAATTATGATATTTTATTATTATTATTATTATTATTATTATTGGTGTGGTTTAAAATCAATAGTGACCGGTGTGTTTGAACACACACACACACACCGTCTGTGGATCAGGACATTGGTGACAGAAACCTCCGTGTCCTATAAAAACCTCCGTGACCTGCAGACAGTCAGAGAGACCGTCCTAAAAACAGAGCTGTGATTTACAGCCCTGCAGTCACTGCAGTGTACACAACGCCTCTGGCACTTGAACAGTTGTTACCATAGCGTGACACCTCAGCACTATATCACTGGGGCAACCGGCCGCCCTGCAGCAGGGGCACCGCACCAGGAATCAGCTGTGGTCACAGTAGAGGCTGCTCCGTGACATCATTCATTTTTTTAATTGTAACCTTGGCTGGTGCAAAAAAAAAAAAGTACACGCAGTACTGTGCAAACGTTTGAGGCAGGTGTATACGTTTACTACACCGTTCCTTGATTGTAGACTTTTAATTAATTAAATTAATTTAAACAAATATAGAGAAGCAGAATGTTGTTCTCCACAACATGAAACATTTTCCAGTTTTCCTGGACCATTTTGGCAGGCATAAAAAAAGGAGTTTAAGCTTTGTCCTTTGAAGCTGTCACAGGCAAGCCCCCCCGTACCCCCGCCCAGAAGACGAACAGTAGTGCAACAAGTTGTACTATTGTTGTACTGCCCACAGTCTGCAGCTCTTATAAAAAACTAAATTAAACTCATGCCTTTTAAAGTTCAGTGTCATTGAGTACGAGCTTATGTTTTTTTACTTTTGCTTTAAATCAGCTCAGGGACGCAATTCAAAAATATTAACCAAATTAATTAGAGGCTTTGTAAGTAATCAATCGCAATTATTCAAATTTTTATCGAAATGTGTAAAGCTAATACCTTCAACACTCCAAACTTTTTTGTCTTGAACTTCGTCGCCTTCGTCGCCATCCAACAGGTCAGACAGTGCAGACAAAACTTTTTTGTATGCTGATTTCAGTGGTGTATTACTGCCACCTACAGGGCTGCAGTGTGTGCATCGGTGTCACCAGTGCACCAGAATACAGCACAATTATACTTTCTGTAATTTATCGCAATTTACACCTGTAAAAGAAAAATAAGTCTCTGATTATTTCGATGTGTACACCCGCCTAAAACTTTTGCACAGTACGGTTCACGTCTTCCTACTTTTTAGTGTGAGCAGCGTTAGGAGACGGTAAAAAAGTGCCTTTTTACTATAAGAGAACTTGAACTGAGTCATTCAACTGCACTCCTCCAATTTAAAAAGGCTTCACAATTCAGTCATGAAAATCTGGAAAGTCTGTCATTTTTAATCCGACAGTTTGGTGTCAAATGTTCTATGTATGCACTTGGTGAAACAGCTTCTACCTCTGGGTTGAATTTTTTTTTTTTACTTTTTTTTTCAATCTTCTTGAAAAGTTAGCAGATTAGCAGATTTTTATCTGCTGAGACGTTAGGAGTTAAAGTCCCACCTACATGTGAAGTGGTCAGTAGACTGAAGGCAGGAGAATGTTGGAGCAACCGTTACAGTACGATCCTCAAAATGAGTTTGAAAGTAAAAACGCACAATAAACGACTCATGTGTGACAGTTTGTTTTGTTATTTTGTCTTAAAATTTGCTTCTTCTTTTTCCCCCTACTGTCCAGCAGTGTTGTAGATGTTGTGGCAGGGACAGGTGATGACTTAAGACAACTATGTCCAACATGAAGACAGGTTAAAAATACTCTTCTCCGTTAGGTGAAATTTATTTCCTCTCATCTTTTACACTGAAAGGGAGACGGTGTCTTGTTCAAGGGCAGACTCCTCGCTCTGCTATTGTGCCACTGCTGCTCCTAGACTAAATAAAGCTGAGAGTCATCATCATGCCCATCATTATGATTATACCTCAGCGACAGCTCCAGCAGATGCTTGTCTTGGCCCGTTACCAGTGGTGCCATCATTGCATTCTATACACTGGGGCTGGAGTCGAGTCAACGTGCTGCACTTGTTGTCTTTACTGTTAGGAAAAATTCCACAGGTCTCTTTTACTGCTCGTTGGAAAAGGGCTCTAAAGTGGATTGAGCGATAAAGGCAGCAAGTGAAAAGACGAACACATTCATTTAACTTCAAATTCAATTTTCAGAAACAGTGTTTGATGGTTAGGTCAGTGATTGGTGCGCTGTGAGAGGTATTCAGGTAAACTATAGAAATTGATCCAATGTTACTTCAATTAACCTGAAAACTATTTTATATGTGCTCTTCCACTAGGTGGCAACACAACGCAACAAAACTAAAAAAAAGAGAAAAGGAGAGACTGTGTGTCTTTCTTTAGATCCTGTGAGTATGTCAGCCATGTGTTCAACTAAACAGGCCAAGGTTTCACAATGGGTAAGTAATCCTGCCCCAACGAGAAAGGTTTGACAGACACATCTCTCTCGTTTTATAAATACAGCACTAAAAAGCTTCTAAAATTGTTTTAACCCCAATTGTTTGATATTCTGCATGTGTATTCAGTTCAGAGATTAACAGACCGAATGTTAAATGTTCATAATAATAACTTCAAAAATGTTTGAATGCAGAGTAATTTAACGAAATCCATTAATTAATATTAACTTGTCCATGTCCATATGTGAAGTACCCACAAAACAGTGTGTTGCGTGCGTGCATGTGTGGTTGTGTGTGATTTTCCTGGCTCTGTGCTTACGTTCTCATTCACTTCGGTATATACTATGGGAGTTCATTTTTGTCCTTAGTCTCTGGGAGTATTTGTACTGAGTCATCTCTATAAAAACACACTGTAAGTGAAACATATTCCAGTTTCTACCCATTCCACATGTGTATGATATCACTTGGCGAGGAAACACTAACCACACTGCATGGCGGCTCTCAGTGAAGTCCAATTTCCTGCACCACATGAGGCTCTTAATTACTGATGATAAGGTCGGGGGGGAAGGAGGGGCGGTGGTCTCTGCCAAGAAAAGCATTTTCAATGTTTCTTCAGGAATATTCCTTCTTGAACAGCAAAGATTCCACGATATGCATATCAACGTGTTCCCATGTGGCTGTGCATTATAGATATTAATCATGTGATTATATGAAGTGTGCAGTTTGGGACCATGGTTGAACAAGTTCAAGGAGGAGACTAAACATGTTTGCTTGGAAATTGATGCAACAGTGAATTGTTTTTGACTCATTAGTTTGGAAACATGGATTACAACATTTTTCGTCTCCAGTTTCCCCCAGTGTTTATCATTCATGTGGACCACACTCTTAGTTACTCCCTTTGTAGCTCTGCTGTGTGGTTCAACTTCGACGCCTGTCTGATATCAGTGAAATGCATTAGTGGTCACTAATGTTGTTTTCCTCCAGATAGACATGTGGAACTAAGGTGTTCTTACTTATTTCCAGGTAGAGAAACCTCTAAAGACCAGTAAAAGTTCAAGATTTATCATTTTTCCAAGGTTGTAGTTCCATCTTTCACTCACAAGGTTTATAACATATATATATATCACAAGTGAAATATTGGAGTGTGGGTTATCTGTAAGCTCACAAGTTGAAGCAACATTAGGTTAAAAAACATTAGGTTAAAAAAAATTGCAAAAGGTTTAGTAAATAAATAAATATTCACAAGTTGAGCCATGGCGTAGTCTTAAGTTAGCTACAGAAGAAACAGCGATAAACGATAAACAGGGCTCCTCTCACTAGGTAAGGCTATAGTAAGGCATGTTT